ATAAGGATGTCTCTTTATACAAAATTAAGTTGTAATACATGTATGTTATTTAGTATTGGAATGAGAGGCACAAGTCCTAAAGTAAACACAAGTTGTCAATCAATTCAGCCAGAAAATCCGGGATCCTATTAAAAAATATAGGGATCCCGGAAATTGACCAGTCTAAGAAGATGTTTTTCAGATAAGCTGGGATCCTATTAAAACATATAGGGATCCCGGGAATTGACCAGTTCAAGAATATAGTTTTCAGAAAAGCCGGGATCGTATTAAAATGTAAATAGATCTCACAGATTGGCCAGTTCAAGTATATAGTTTTCAGAAAAGCTGGGATCGTTTTAAAACATATAGGGATCCCAGGATTTGACCAATTCAAGAAAATAGTCTTTGATTTTTCCAATTAATTAGGCATATAATTATAAGTATTGTGATTTCCGCATTTTAAGTTTGTTAATAAATAGTTCTAAATATATCTATATTCTAAGTTAAATTAATTTAACGTTCATTACATACAAAAAATTAACGTTTAATGGCCTTTCATTACGACAACAATCAACACAAATATAGTTCATTAGGTTTTTCCTCCATATCTTATACGATCCCGGATCCCGGGCGTCCCGGATCCCGGCCAGTTAATACATACACTAAATACCGGAAAGGATAAAATGACCGGAAAAAAGGAAAAATAAAAAATGCACAGAACCAGATGTACACTTATGTTAATTAACCAAACGAAATCTTACTACAGAGAAAACAGGTGAAATCGCTAAATCAGAAGTCAGTGTAAATATGATTTATTGAAAAGAATTCATAAAGACAAACATTTTAATCATCATTATATCTTTGCGCTCAAAACAATACTTGCTGATTTTTAAAAATGGCGTGAAAATTGAAGGTTTTTTGACGCTATGTAAGATTAAATTTGATTGGCTAAATGATTTTGGATCCTAGCCCTGATAGATAAATTTTGTAGAAAGCTGGAAGCCAAGCTTCGATTAAATTTTTGATAGCTTCGGAGTTTTAGGTTGTTTCTCAGTAAAATCCTACCGTAATACCGGCTCGCCGTGGCGAGCCGGCAAGAAGACAGACACTTGAAATGAAACTAAAAGCGCAAGGTACGGGACAATGATGGACAATATTATTATTTAAGAAATACGATTATAAGTTTTTGGTATGCTATTATTACAGCTTTGTTCATGACGGATAAAATGAGATGTAACTGTTTTCAAAACGTACTATAGATACAAAATATTTATGAAATAACTAATGCATATTATATACATGTATTCTAAAAATCTAAATTTGAAAATGACAAACAACTAAAATCTCTGTGCTTTGCTGTATTGTATTGTATACATATTTATTTTGAAGTGTTGTGTAGCAAACGAAAATACTATATTGTCATTTAACACGATACTTTGTTGATTTACATAGCTTAAAAGGTACGGGGCCATTTCTAACCAGGTACGGGACAATGCTATTTTAACAACATGCAATGAAGTGTATCAATATCTAATCCATACTGTTAATTAATAAGTTGACAAGTGCAATAGATAGTGACGCACGTATATAATTATTCTATGCACGAATCTAAATATGTCAATACGCTTTCGTTATGATTGTTAAAATGTTACTATTTTTTGTTGAGAGGTATGTCTTGAATTGTGTTTCGTATAATTTTGCTCTTATTTCATAGCCTGTACATTGATTTATGTTGGTAAACATGTTCTTTTGAAGGAAATAAAATTTGAAATCAAATATATTTAGTCGTTTATCTCTTAGTACCTTAAATGTTGTAGATACTGAAATGACTCGTACATTGTTAATTTATCAATAGTGCCCTATATATGTGGCTCCTACCGGGAAAAGTACGTTACTTGTACTGATAAAATAGAGAAAAAAGAATCTCTAAAGAAAGTCCAAAACGGCAAAATTGAAAATGTTGCAGGCTCGGTTTGATTGAGCCTGTTCATGGACGGTACTGTCAAGTGAGAACTACCGTCCACGCCCCCCAGCACTGGCTTAGGCAGAATTCAGCATGTAATAAACATGAAATGACAAAGTTTTGAATTTAGAAACATCCGCAGATGTGTTCATACGGCGGTTTTCATGGAACCTTCAATGGGACACGCGACATTCCATGAAAAGCGGCGTATGGTCCTCAAGGTATAGAAAGCGTGTGCCCTAAACGAGAAAACAATGGGCGGAACTAAACAAAAAATGGAATTTTGAAATGGAGTAAGAGATTATGAAGCTTGCATATAAAACTGACAATGTACAAATGTATTACATTTATCAAATTTTATGAGTAATCAATAAAATTTACGATCTTCATTCATAGCATATTTTCTTTGGGTTTTGTCTTGGTTAAATGAGAATGAGTGATTAATAGATACGTGGAAACCATAAATATAGCCAAGAGGAACTCTCAATTATTGATTTGAAGAGCTGGTTTAGATGAACAATATTGTTTACTTTTATCATAAGCGATATTTGTGGGGAAAGAAATATTTTTATGCCTTTGAGAGATCCATGAGCACTGCCGCTAGATAGCTTTGATGCATATTTACAGTCTTCAGCAACACTAAGGAAGAAGAATTACAGGCAGGGTCTTATTTTTAAGATCAGGTCTAAGGGACAATACTCTTGCTTTACTGTTGGATTTTATAATTTAGCAAAGGGAGACAAATCCTCCGGTCTTGTCTGATACTTTTCAAGGGAGATTACTCTATTGATTTTAACTGATTTTATCTTATGTTTACATTGGTCAGTATTCTAAGAATTCAAATGATTGGTTCACTTGCAGATAGTCCGAAAATTTCTCTGTTACCGCCCATTTAAGTGCTAAAAATTCTAACTTGTGTGCACTGTAATTCTTTTCAGATTTGCTGAGTGATCTACTTGCATATGCCACTGCATGTTTGTTGTTGTCATCTACCTGGTATAAGACTGCACCAAGTCCTTTTGTCGAGGCATTCGTGTGTAACTCGAAAGGTTTTGTGAAGTCTGGATAAACTAATATGGGAGGCGTTGAAAGTATTTCCTTTAAATCATCAAACATTTTTTGTTTTGTTTTGTTTTTTCTTTCTTGATGTTGGAGGAAGTAAGTCTGCTAGAGGTCTTGTAATTTTACTAAAGTCTTTTATGAATCTTCGGTAGTATCCAGCGAAAGTCAAAATGATCTTAATTCATCAGAATTTGAAGGAGTAGGCCAGTTTTTATTATTTTCAATTTTAGCTGGACCTGTCTCGATACCATCCTCTGATACCACATGTCCTAAAAAGTGTACTCTCGGTTGGATGAAGAAACATTTCTCTGGTGACAATTTCAGTTTACATTCATGAAGGCGAGTGAGAATCAAGTCTCTATTACATAATTTCCCTTATTATTGAAAAAAAACCAATAACAAACCAACTCTCTTGTTGTAATCTCCTTTCTTCAGTTATGAATTCATGAAAGAGTTTGGGCATGTAAGTTATTTTTGGGTAATATCCGAGCTTCATAACCTCTGATCCCTGTCAAAATTTTATTTCATTCAGTTTTTTCTCACAATAAGAATGTTTTCTCGTTTAGATTTACTTGGGGACCATACGAACGTCGCTTTTTATGGAATGGCACTCACGTGTCTCATTGAAGGTTCCATGATAAGCGTCGTACAAACACATTTCTAAATTCCAGATTTTCCCACTACCTTGTTTTAATGTTGATCTCTGCTTAAGCCGGTGCTAGGGGCGTGAACAGTATATTGCACCATGAACAGGCTCAATCAAACGGAGCTTACAACATTTTCTATGTTGCCGTTTTGGACTTTCTTTAGGGATTCTATTTCTCTATATTTTACAATGCTGCTTGAATAAATGACCACTGTACTGTGTTTTGTAATGGGAAAACCCCTCAAATAATCATAATGCCTAGAGTATAAATATTTGTTATGTACCATTACCTTGTTGACCTCTACAAAATTAAGGTAAACCATACCTCTGTGGTCAATATAAGCCAACCTATGGGATCACTTACAGTATATCAGGCTATTTTCAGGTACGGCATATTTCACGATTCTAGCAGTAATCTAATTTTAGCGATTCTGTTGTATATGTTTTTTTCGCGTTTTTCTTCACGAGATGGTAAAACTTTGTTTCCAATTTTCGTCTAATTATTAATCATTCACATTGGGTCAATATTTAGACTTTTCCGAGGATCACTTTATTCATGTAGACTAATAAAGAAAAAAATAACTTAGTCTTATTGTGAGAAACTACACTGCCCAGAGCTTAGTCATTTAGCATGTAACATTACAATGCGGGCATCTACAAAATTGATATTCATCATGCCCCTGGGGTCAAAATTGCCGTTGACCCGCCATGGGTTACTTGATTTATATTGACTTATATAGGAAAACACATTTATGTCTTAGTGTGTGAAACTACAAACCTCAGATATTTGGGATGTTGCATCAATTTGAAGTTTTCTACTAAAGTTATATAAATCATGGCAATTCCTCGCGAGTCACTTGCTTCATGTAGACTTATGTACAGATAAACATATCTTATCTTTTTGAGGTTAACTACTATGTCCAGACCTGCTATATTTGACATATAGCGTTGCCTAGTAGACCTCAATAAAAGCTTGATGAATATTATCCCCCTAGGGTAAAAAATTCCTCCTCGCAACCTCCGATGGTCATTAAGTATCATAAGGATAATGAGGATAAAAACGTTTTTCAGACAAGCTTCTTGTGTTCCCTAATGAAAGATTATTTAATTTATTTTTGATTACTTAAATAAGTTTACATCCAGGCGCATATTGCCACGCATTTGCGGTGCTCATGCTAAGAAGGCATAGCGGTTAATCAGGCGATAAATGCTAACGAACTTGTACGTTAAACTATGTATTTCAATACAAAATACATAGAAATCCGAAACTCTATCTGCAGCATCATTTATTAATTACCCAATACTTAAAGTAAAAGGAACACACTCATGTAGAAAAAGAAACAAATGATATACTTTCATACTTTCTTTATATAAAAAAACATCTTTTAAAAATAAAACACCGTTCTATATTTCAAGGAATTTCATTCTGATTGGTACACATATTTTGCTTTGTTCATATAGGTTAATCACATTGATGTTTTTGGACGGCGTTTCCTTTATATTGGTGTTTGACAAGTAGTTTATTCTGTTCAAAAGTTTATAATCCGTTAAATAATTTGATTGAAATATTTTTACTGCGATTTCCTGTCTAAATGTTTGTTTTGTTCACTTGAGCACCGCTGGATAAGACGGACATTGATATAAATGTACTGACCTAACGACTATATATTACCCCATTCTTTACAAGTACTTTTCTGTTGAATGCAAATTATGCTTACATGTCATTTGAAACAATATTTTGTGACGGTAGAAGTAGTTTCGCAGAATAACAGATACCGCACTATTTTAATTATCAGATGACGCACTTAGTTAATTCAGCAAACGATCACTTACGTAGTGAGTCTTTTCATATTTTGTTAATCTAGATAGTCAAATAGCCACAGTTTCCTACTCCTGGTTATTCATTTATCTCCGTTTACTCCATATCTCCGGATTGATCAGTGTTAATTCCGTACCGTTGTCTGACAAATCAAGTACCTGAGATTTGAGTTTGAGCTTTGAGAATGTTTTAAGTATCGGACCCTGGACATTAATTCATCTCCATTTCTTCTATATCTGTCGCTGACTTAAATACTACTTCCAAAGGTTGTCTAAGGACCCAAGCCCTCATAACTTTTTCAAGAGTTTCACAATCCTCAAGTTCGTTTTCTTTTCTGTACGTACGTCGTTTAATAAAGACTTTAGTTTTAGTGGTTTCATCTCCTGTAATAGCAGAAGGGAAAATAAAACTTGATCTATTTGTGTCATTTATTGAAAGAATGGTTCATAATGTTGTAGACAAAGTTTAAGTGGGACGTATTTTTTAATCAATATCCCTTTGACTTAACTTACATTTGAGTGTATTAGAAAGTTTTCACTAACACAATTAAACAAACTACATTTAGTATTTCTTTGCTTTGGTTATTTTTTGCACATGTCCTTATTACAATTTTTATTTTCTAATTCATTTAAAATTCTAATGGCACAATAAAACATCATTGTTATAACTGTAAAACATAATAATAGACAGCTATTGAAATAAAATTAAAAGTTAATTTTTCTTACGGTTGAATTCTTGTAAAAGCATTTGTTCTAACTCCTCTATATCCTTTATGTAGGAGAGTGGTATAACGTGTTCTGTTTTTGTTTCACACTCCGTAAAATCAATTTTTACTTCTTCATCAGTGTGAAAGGCAATGTTTGTATGATCATTAAGAGAGATCGTTGGCGTTCCCTTAGTACGTTTCATGTGTTTTTTGATATACTCGAACAGACTTGAAACTGTGATAAAGTCTGTATTCTGTCTCCAAAAGTCCATACAAGCCGTACAATGTATGTTACATTTCATTCCCTCCGACCTCGCTTTCAATCCATCGATGAAGTGTTTCGTAAATACACTGCCATTCTTTGTAAAGTCAGCCTCCTCGTTTGATCCACAAGCATTAATTTGAATATATTTTCTCTGATCGTTAGTAAAAGCTAATGTTGGTGGAAAGCATCTGTCTAAGAATATGTACAGCATTTTAATGTTTTTCAAACGCTCCAATTCTATTTTGAATTCGTCTACAGTAAAGCTATCTGAATCACTGTCACTGCCAAGTACGAAACGATGGTTTTCTTTCTCACCGTGGCAAGAGAAATAGATGAGCAAGGTATCGATGTCCGAGCGTTCGCTAAAACTCACGATGTGTTCTTTGACCTTTGGCCACAACTTTTCATTGTCCTCTTGCTTATTAGGTGTTACTGTACTGATATTATCCTCGCTGAAAATATATTCGTCAGCTATTAATGAAACTTAAAGACAAATTCACCATTTTTTCATGTATAAATGTTGAATGCTTCTTAAGTCTGTGTTAAGGGCTTGGACGGTTGATATCATTTACCACTTACGCCTACTTAAAGGCTGACTCAAAAGCCAAACCTAATTTTAAGTTTTGCAGTTTGGGGCTATTAAGGTTTTTATTTTTAATAAATCCAAGAAAATTCAATGTATGCTGAGTGAAAGACAAATCCATGTATTTTTTCTATCACCTTAGACACAAACGCTCCTAAAATACTAGACTACTCCAACAAAAAACACAAGGAAAAAAAGACAAATTGTGATTTTTTTTCTTCAGTGGCAAATGTTTACAAAAGGAATTTTGAAGTTATAGCTTCAGTTAGGTATTCATTTGTATTTGTTTTTTTTCTTAATATAAACTGACACTGTTAAAGTCAAATAGGAACTATACAGCTTTTCTAGTGGAGGGAGACCTTAGGTGCATCTCCGTACGAGCGAGTACATGCATAGAACCACCCATCTCCCCTGGCGGGGTTCGTAACTACAACGAAGAGGTCTCAGTGGTTTAAAGTTAGTTAAAGATTCAATCAATGCACAAACACACATTTTCCAGTTTGACAGTGAATCACCACTTTTGAAAGCGGACAAAGTGTGATTTTTTGTAATTAAGGTCTAGCTATTTTAATTTCTAGCTCTGGCACACAGACATTAATCCTAATGACAATTATGATTATTATTGTTAAAACCTTATTCCAATGATTCGTGGTGCCTTCGATGATATAAGTTTTTCTATTTCTTTGATGTCATTTTCAAGTGGAGCAACATTGGTTTTTCTATCGATTCCAGCTACTAACAATGCCCCCCATCGATGTCCTGAAATTAGACAGACATACACCATCATGTTTATATGAGTAGCATTGAAATTATAACACATTGCAGTAAATATCAAGGCATCATGCCATTGAGTGGGGAAAATTGAAGAACATTGATTTTGAAAATGTCATTTAATATACTGAGAGAGACGGTTGCTGTTTTAGCCGGCATGAGCACAAAGTACTCATTAATAAGCTTGTCGTTTTCCACAGGTTTTTTTTAAACAGAATCATCTTCTTATCAATTATGTGGAATTCAATTTAATTTCACAGGAATGACCCTTACGATGTTTCTTCGAAAATATATATATATTGACCTCAAGGTCAATTGACCAAGCCCCAGGAGGTCACTTACTGTATATACACATATTTAGGAACACACTTAAGACTTCTTGTGTGTAACTACAATGCCCAGAGCTCGGATATTTTCTATGCACCACATCATTGCCTTGTGAACGTATACATCAGTTTTATAAAAAAATGCCCATTAAGTAAAATAATGGACCAATCGTTGGATGTTGGTGCGCAAAAAAAGAGCGTTATACCTTTGCGATCTTTAGCCATCGTGACCCATGTTTTTTTTCGTTTGACTTGGATTGTATTATAGTTATCTGAAAAAGAATAGATAAAAACAATGTTACCTATAACGGGAGTTAATTCTTTGCCACAGTAGCATGCTATTGGGTTCAAAAAACTGTTCTTTTCACAGGCTATGCATGCTTGTATTTTCATTGTACAGTTGGGTAGATGTGACTGTGTCATTGAAGATTCTCTTGCTGAAATATGAATGAAACGTCTGTTTTTTCTGCTTAATAAATCATTTTTTAAAACAATTTTTAAGCTAGATATTCATATAAATAGAGTAAAAGGAAATCCCTCAAGAACGTCATAAACGCCAAAAACGTAAATTGTTGCATGCAAAAAATTTGAGTATGAAAATAAAATATGAACTTTATTATTGTTGATTTAACGCAGTTTTATCTTATATAAAATGTGGAAATAAAATGTACAGGCAGGCTATACGTCGGCATATGTGTATGACTGTATGTGTTATCATATAAAGTATGGGACGTCCGTTGCAGAGTAATTAATGTCGTTGACTTCAAACCACTTGCCTCTCAGCTCCGAGAGTTCTAGCCACAAAAGTGGCGTCAAAGTCTTCATGTGAGAAAACTATCAAGCTAGCTATTGGAATGTCGGTTGTTTTACTCAGGTGTCCGTTTGTGTCTGAAATAATGTAGAGAGGGGCACATGAAATATTCCTTAACAAGTAAAGCTGGAAAGTTGCCATATGTCCTATTTTGTGTTATTGCGACGTAAAACCCAGCATAGAAATATAAAAGACGGTTATCTAATCTTAATATAATTTAATGATTTAAAATCTCGAGGAAGGGTGATCCTCGGCAGAATTAATCGCAACAAAATAACTTGAAAATTGCAAAATCTGTTTGATTGAGTCTGTACATGATGGCTTATGAATAAGTGCAACATCTCACACGCCCCGTAGCACCAGCTTGTGCGGTACTCAATATTCAACATTTAAAAAAGCCAGAATCAATTATCCCGAAGGACCAGAAAAATATAACAACACTGAAGCGAAGTACGGGCAACTTTTTAAAGACTGCCACACAAAATCCTCGTTTTCTTTGAAAGGGATTACATTTTGTTCAAAAGATATGAAGTAATATTGATGTTTTGTAAGAAGCATCCATGTAAACCATAACCTTTTACCTTTATAGACCATTCATCTCGTTATCGGACAAAGGACATGTTCATGCTAAGTGCAAATCATTATTTGTGTCAGGTGATAAACAAATCACACGTCAAGGGCGGAATGGTAAAGAGAATAACGAATGCCTGAGAAATGCATGGAACAGAAAACAAAGAAATTAGGGGTTTAAACTTAATAAAGCATTTAACAAACATGTTTAATGAGTTATATAATCACTTTACTTATGATTAAAAAGAATGCTTTGACGCAACACACACGATGAAATTATTTGACATTTAATTACCAGTGGATCCTTTGAACAATTCATTTGCTTTCGCTGAAGACAAATGAAACACAAAATGTCAAAGTGGAATTACGAAAATCCGTAAATTTGTTTGTGCTTTTTCAAGATAAGTATTACAGCCCCCAAGCGGTAAACAAGAAACTTTATTTGTACCAACACAATGAAAGTTTTACTATATAAACTACAGTCTTCCTATTTTTGTTCGAGGATTAGTTTACAATCAGAGACATATATTAAACAATTTAAAATTGATACACGCAGAAACAATATTGTTGTTGATAAGCACCACTTTTTCTCTAGGGAAGATAGATTGGAAAAAACAACAACTGTTTTATGTGTGTTAATTTGGTGTGGATACAGAGAATACGAGATGTTGATACTATGAGTTTATTTCTAAGACTCTTTAACAATATGTAGTCAATTGGTCAGTACACAAAGTAGGCGGAGCCAAAGGTACTGCATACAATATATATTTAATGTAGAATTAAATATGAAACAATATATATTTAATGTAGAATTAAATATGAAACATCTCCCTTCTTTTTAAAAAAAAAAACAACAAGAAATTTCTAAAGAATCTCAAGGCAAATAAGGTTGATATCACTTGTATCTGATTTATCTTAATGTTTTATTGCCATGATAATGTTCTCAGTCCTATTCCTCAACAGATGTTGTAAAAATGTCAGCAAATTATATATGGCTTATCTGTGAGGTAGAATGTCGATTTAATTGATAGCTGATTTCACGCTAGTTCCATGGTGTATCATTACACTAATAGTCACTATAAATTCACACCGACCTTAAGAATGATAATATTTGTAGTCTACACGTGTTTCTTTGTACTGTAGAGATAGTTGTATGCAAAACTATACATAAACACATATATTATTTAAAGAGGCAACATAACATTATTAAAATAGCATGTATCAATAATTATTTTCTACAAGGTTAGTTTATGAGGCTTTTTAACAAAACGACCTGATCTTGTTTTATATTCATTGTCTGCATTCTCAGACAGGGGTGATTGAGACAACAGGGGAGTTTTGAGAATTAGCGTCTTGACCTGTTGTCAATATTTTATTGGCAGGGTCATTTGTACCAGGGTTATGAACTTTTGTGTTATAGGATTTAATTTCTAAAGGTGGTTGGTGTAATGTAAAATTTGAACTGTTCTCAGTTTCAGAAAATGGTTGTTCATTTGATTTTAGTAGATGGTATCTGTTTCGTCTATATATTGCACCATCTTTTGTTCTTACATCATAAGATCTGTCATGAACTTTATGTATAACTACTGCAGGTAACCAACTTTTTCTTAGCCTAATTCTAACACCTTCCCCAATTTCTAGAGGTTTGAGGGTTTTAGTTGTCCTGTCATTATAATTTTTGACCTTTGTTTAGCATTTAACATGCTGTCTCTGATAACCTGTGTGTCAGGAACTTTGGGATCAAGTTGCTCTGACATTAATGGCAATGTTGACCTTAACTGTCTGCTCATAAGCAGCTATGCTGGAGATTTTTCACAGGGTGATGGGGCATTGCGATAGCATCGCAAGATAAGGATCTTTTCCTGCTTGTTTTGATTTTGTAAACATATTTTTGACAGTTTTGACAGTGATTTCTGCCAAACCATTGCCTGATGAATGACCTGGGGATGATGTAACATGAAAAAAAATCATACAGTTTTGTGAACTGTAAGAAACTTTCTGCACTGTAACACGGGCCGTTATCTGAGTATAATACTTCAGGTATTTCATGTCTGCTAAAGAAGCTTTTTAATTTGTTGATGACTGTACTAGATTTTGTACTTGAAATTTGACTAACTTCAAAGTACTTGTTGTAAGCATCAACTAATAACACATAATCTGAATTCTTCCAATGAAAGAGTAGCACAAATTTGCCACGGCCTATCAGGTATTTATTTGGTCTCAAGGGTTCCTTCGGGCTTGAACACCTATGCTCTATACATATTGGGCATTCCAGGACTTTTTTCTTTATGTCTGTGGCCATATTTGGCCAAAAGAGCACGTTTCGAGCTCTATTTAAGCATTTTTCTACACCTAAGTGCGCATCATGAATAATAGCAAGCATGAGTGATCTGAGCTCTACTGGAACTAGAATTTTAGTATTCTTTAAGATGACACCATCTATAACTGATAATTCATCTCTGAAATTCTAAAATTCCAGGATATTTTGGGGGCAATCTGATCTATTATTAGGCCATCCTTCATGAATAACTGATGAAAGAATTTTCATTTGTGGGTCAGATGTGGTTGTTAATTTAATTTTTGGTCACTCACTGGCAAGTTCGACATAATTGTGTGTACATGTGTTTCTAGATTAGCCGATTCGACAATTTCTAGGCATGTGTCTGGTAAGAATTTCCAAAGACAAAGTATCTGCTAGGGGTATATCTTTCCCGGGGATGAAAACTACATAAATATCATACGGCTGCAAATGCAGTAATATGCGCTGCAGTCGTGGAGGTGCTAAGTTCAAGCCTTTCTTCCATATAGCTTGGAGAGGTTTATGATCACTTTGACATGTAATAAAGTTTAACCGTTAATGTATTGGTGAAAAAATTTTGCATCCGGAAAGGATAGCGTAAGAATTCCTTTGTGATTTGCGCATAATTGACCTCACTAAGGGGTAATGACTTTGATGCAAAACCAAAACTGGTTTACCCTCCTGCATGAGTACTGCAGATAAACCATACTCGGACGAGTCGACTTGAAGGGTAACTTCCTTATTTGGGTCAAAGTAAGAGAGTATTGGACCAGGGCTTTGTGTAATAATGCTTTTAACCTGCTGTAGGGCATTTTCCTGGGGTGCATCCCAGCTAAAATCTACATCTTTAGAAAGAAGCTGTCTCATGGGTGCTGTAATTTCAGAGAGTTTGGGTGCAAATCTCTGTAAGTATGTCACCATGCCTAGAACTTTTTGCAATTCCTGTTTAGAAGTAGGAGATGGCATCTCTGCTATGGCCTTGACCTTTGCAGGATCAACTTTTAAATCTTGATCAGTAATTAAGTGGCCAAAGAAAGGTAACTCTGTTTTCCCTCTTTCCGTTTTTTCGGGATTGACCTTGATGCCTATTAATCGGCATCTTCTCAAGAGTCTGTCCAGATTATGGTCATGTTCTGTCCTATCTTTGCCGTAAACAACAATGTCATCAACAATTGTTCTTACTACTGGCAAATTTTCCAGACACCGTTCCATTTTTGCACAAAATGCATCATTTGCATTCTTTAAGCCATATTGGAGTCTTAGGATTCTGTATCTTGCAAAACAACTGTTAAAAGTTGTCAAGTAAGATGACTTTTTTGTTAGTTGGATAGACCAATAACCTCTACATGCATCTAATTTTGAAAACACATTAGCATTTGACAAGTCGGGCAATATGTCGTCAATTGTCCTATTAGGGTAATGGGGTCTTTTGATGGCATTGTTTTAGATCTTTCGGATCTAAGCATAACCGTAAAGAGCCATTAGGTGTTTCTACTACAACTAGAGCTATTACCCAGTCTGTAGGTTCTGTGACTTTCTTAAATAATACCTAAGTTTTTCCATTCTGTCAAGCTCTATTTTAAGTTTGTCACGAATGGCAATAGGAACTCTGCGTGGAGGGTGAACTACTGGTGTGACATTGTCACGCAACTGTATTTCAAATTCCCCTGGCAGTTTTCCTATTCTGTTGAAAACATCTGAGTATGTATTGAGCCCTTGCTTCTTTGTAATAGGCACTGTGCACGTATAAGACAGTACTAACTTAATTAAGTTTAACTTCAGGCATGTTTGAAGACCTAGAATGGGGCTTGAATGTGTATCTACTATGTAAAACTCTTCTGTAGAAATTTGACCTTTATATGTACAAGGGAGATTGTTACAATCATCGAATTTGAGACCTTATTTGCCTAATGATCTGAATATTGACACTGGGAGACCTGAGCTCCTGTATCAATTTTCATATTAAGTTCTGTTGAGCAGACTTTGACCTTAGCAAATGCTTGATTTGTTGTGCTGTCATGCTCAACTGTATAGACATACATGTCATTATTATGAGGGGGTAGGGAACAATCAAGATAATTTGTGTTAAAATGAGTTACCTCATTAACATTTTGGCTTCCTAAATCATGTTTTCTTTTCCTACACACTTTTGCGAAATGATTAAACGTTGTACAGTACATTTGAACCTTGGCTGGGCATGCATCACGTTTAAAATGGTAAGTCCAACAGTTATTACAGTTATTTGTATTTCCAGTAGGTACTCGTTGATTTGTTCTAGTGTTGTGTTTGCTGCCATCTGTCTTCTCGCTTTGCGTCCGAAACTGCTTAAATGGTGCTGCTGCTGTTGCTGCTGAGGATTTCCTGACTGCATTGATGGATTGGGCTTGGCCGCTTATATCCCTTAGCTGTGTCTGACTTAATGCATAAGTGCGAGACAAGTCAATACATTTTTCAAGTGTCAAGTTTGATCCTTCATTGGTGAGTTTCTCTGTTATCTGGTGGGAACGTACACCAAATACAATGTGATCACGTATCATCTCGCTTTGTATCTCGTCTGCATAGCCACAGTCCTTTATTAGTAATTTTAAATCTGTGACGAACTCCTCAAAGGTCTGTCCTTCAGATTGTATACATGATTTAAATTTATACCTTGAGTAAATGTGATTCACTTTGGGCGCACAATATGTCTCGAAACCTTGATAATATGTCTGAAGCAGTTTTCTTTGTTCAGCTGTAACTGTCCAGGTTGAAAATATTTGGCGACCCTTCTCACCAACCCATAGCATTAAGTAATTGCACTTTGCCTCCTCTGTTTTCTTTTCTAGCCCTCCAAACATAAAGTCACAATGTTCTTTAAAATTCTTAAATGCAGTTGGCAAGTCTCTAGCTTCCCAGTCCATTCTTGATGCTGAATCCATCTTTTTACAATGGTTATAAATCCAAAATACGTTTAATTTCTGTTATTTTAATTGTTATTATTATAAATAATTAAATCCTTTTATTCTGACACCATGTTTTATGTTTGTTGAATTTGGTGTGGATGCAGAGAATACGAGATGTTGATACTATGAGTTTATTTCTAAGACTCTTTAACAATATGTAGTCAATTGGTCAATACACAAAGGAGGCGGAGCCTAACAATCAAGTTTAAAGGTACTGCATACAATATATATTTAATGTAGAATTAAATATGAAACAATATATATTTAATGTAGAATTAAATATGAAACAACAACAACACAAATTCAGTTTGTAAGGATACACTTTTAATGTATTGGTGAACGCTGAAAAATTAATATTTTTGCCTTTGAATATACACATGATGGTTTGTACTAGTGAGACAGGAAATAAACACCAGACTTTATATGAGGACTGTCAATGCTATGACTCTGATCCTATCTAGATCCCATGTCAGTTGTATTTTAAAAAAAATGATTCTGATGCCTAATGCCCTCGTCTTCACACAAAACTACATGTATTTCAAAATATACATTTTTGTTATCATGACGCGCAATATTATACCTAAGTATGTTAATATCATGTAAAGATACTTATTTTATTTTTGCTCTTCCCTAGTGGTGTAGTTAATTTATGTCACATATGTAACAAATACAAATGTAAGATTGAACATGTCTGACATGTAACCGATGACAGACGTTTTAATCAGGTTTAACCAAAAACAGTGAACTTTAAACAAAATATAAAAGATGTGACATAAAGTTGGACAAAGCAAAGTTCAAGTTCTGACTTCATGTATCAACAAGGAAAACATATTTATGATTAGTGTAAAACAAAAGTAACAAAAATACATTTGCAAGGCATCTGATAAAATTGTAAATGATATTGACTTGAAAGTAATTACATTTTACTTTGAACTATTTCAGTTGTAACAGTTTACATGTATACAAAAACACATAAACTCGTACAATATAACACAGCATATATGGTAGGCAATGAATAGTATGGAGGTGTCAAAAGAGACTCTAAAGTGGATGGAGGGGAGGAGAGTGGAAAAGAAAACCTTCCCTCAGCTTCTCACTTTCTTTGTTCACTTGTTAGCGGGCGGATGAAAACAACAGAAATATAGGTAATAAACCAAAGGGAGAACAATACCAACAAGTACTAAAACCCAAGAACAGTCAGTGCTCCTAAACCAAGAATAAAACAAATATTATAACATCTAGCAAATATAAACTACTTTATCTCATCACAATCTATGAAGTGTTGTTTTATTAACATCAATGGCATGCGCTAAAACTACGTTCCATCATTGCTGTTTTCAAACGGCTTTTCGAGAGCTATTTATAAGGCGTCAGTGATGTTCGCTTCTAAAATTAGAAGATTTAACCTTTAAAAAAAGTTGAAGGCCGGTTTAAGTAATACCTTGAATAACGAATCTGAATTAAATAAATCGTTTTAATATCAAAGTTTAAAACTTACCTGCTGGATTTATGAGGCATAGATGACAATTTGGATAATTTTCCGGAACCTGTAAAATGTTCGCTCCATTAAAGTCCTTCCAAAATGTCTGTTAAAACAAAAAAAATGTCAGAGGTTAATAATAATTAGTTCAAGCATAATTGAAAACAAATACTTTTGTTGGTCACCCTAATATGTACTTATATTTTTCAAATGTTTGAACAAATATCTTTGTGATTTTGAACAGTTTAAATTTATTAAAGAAACCCAGAAAGAAAATTTGCTGCTTAAGATGTAAATATGCATGTTTTGGATAAATTTTTTGTGCAGTTAATCTGTTTGATTTCGATAACACAAGGGCATTGGGAAAGAACATCGGTCCCATAAAACGGCTACAAAGAAACTAAACTGTGTTTTATTCTACGGCTAGCTAGAATTATCAAATTTAAGAAACAACCTTGTTAATTTTATTCGCAGTTTTACATTAAAATATCATTCATTGGCTAAATAAACATAAACTTAATTAATTGAATGTAACAGAATTAAGTTAAAAAAATCGGTCATATTATTGCTTTTACATTGTAGTAGCCTTACCTTTAAAGGGCCAACAACTTGTTTATCGAATTCTCTTACATTCCATTTGTTTGCTTTTTCAACATCCAGGCATTTACATGCGATGGCGTTCAGTTTATTAATAAGTGGACCATGATCAATAAGTGAATCATTTCCCCATATTCTTTGCTGTAAGGTATTACAAAGAATAATGAAAGAAATAAAGAATTTGCCAAAAGATGAATTTGACCGTCATTATACGCGGAACTGCTTAGTCTCGCTATTAATCAACTGTGGCATAACAATGACAACACAGATTTTGATAAAACTATCTAAAATAGCCCTATCTGATCGAGAATTAAATGATAAGGGTATTTAAAATTGTTATCATAGCTATTGTTATCATTGTTAAAAAATTGTGTATTAACCTCATTTATTTTAAATAACATTACTTTACAGTAAGAGATACAAGTACTCATTTACAGGTTTTTTTTTATAAATATAAATGATATCTTACATCTACGTTTTTAGAGACTTGTTCTTCTGACATATGCTTCAAGTATAAGTTATTGATTCCCGATGGTCCGAGGCTAGTCAACATCTCCCTAATAACTACATAAATAAATCGAGGGGAAGAATACAAAGATACGTTTTTACTTCATAACATCCAAATATTCATCAATACAAGCCTTCTAATATAAATAAACATCGTTAAATTGATATGAAATGTGGTATAAACAAAGATATACATTTCACCTCACATAAATTTTACATGTTCCTAAAGAAATGACATAACTTTGAAATACCCCCTATTCATCCGTAGTTACTTGCTTTTTCCTCAAATTTGTTGAAGTGTATTCAAATGAAAGTTTGATTACTAACACATAAAAGGAGGCATTTCATAAGACATTTCAGCTTCCTTTATCATGTTTATTGAAATTATTTTTACTTACTGACAGCAAAGCTGTAATAATCCACGAACTCTGTCGATTTTTCCCCTTTTCCAACATTAGGGTGGGAATATGCCAATCTTTCGCTTCTTGTCCCTGAAACGTCACTTTTTTCCCTTGCCAATCCAAAGTCAATGAGGCGAGCATTATATTCATTGTCCAAAACAATGTTTTGAGATGATATATCTTTGTGTAAAATAACATCCCTGTAACATTATATACATATAAATATCGAGCCCGTTCAAACCGACACAGCTGAAATACAGTCTTAAAAGTTATCTAGTGTAAGTCTAGATCAGACCTTATACTGAAACGGTATCAGAATTTAGAAGAAAGGAAAACTGTCATTTCTGATACTTTAATGGGCTTGGGTTTGCATGTTCATCCTACCTTCTACGAATTAAAAATGTATAATGATTAAATCTGGTGGCCTTTCACGCTCTTCTGCGTTGTCCATGGAAATTACTTTAAAAGGATACTTAGGCAAATGAATGACACAAATATTAAATTGAAATCATGCTATAATGACTTTTTAAAAGTCAAAGCATGAATTTCTGTATACATACTATATATTTTCGGCTTGAAGCGTAATAATATCTTTTTATGTTGAACGAAATTAAGCCGTCGCTACGACGGAGTCATCAAGTAGTTTTAAAACAAGTCATGTATATTGAAAAAAATCTGGAATCACAATGGCAGTTATAATTGTGGACAATGTAACATTGAAATGAGTCTATTTAACAGGAACCTTAACGTTTTAAATTTAAATGCTCTAACCTAACCCACGTGTGTCAAGTTAAGAAACCACAATTTTATTCTTTATATGGAGAAAAGTTTTGTTCCTGTGACTGTTTAGTGTTTTCATATCGCAGACATTTATTAAATATTGAAAGAAAAATTCAAATTGAAAAATGAGTTTGCCTCTGTCTCACTGTATTTTCTCCTTGCATGATTGAAATAAAGGGAAATATTTAATCAATCAGTACTCAAAGTGAACAAATGAAATGTTGAATTCGAATTATCTCAAATACTTTGTTGCAGTCATCATTATAATATGGTTGCAGGGTTACCGTATTCAATGAACACATTCTAACTTCCGCGTCGAGTTCTTACTTATCAATAAAAGTCCGTCATATTGGTTAATGGGTGACATTTTAAAAGGTTTAAGTAATTTCATAGGACAACGAATAATGGTGAACAGTGAAACTGTTAGTTTACAGACAGTAACCTTAAAATACTGATGAGGTTTTTGAACATATTCCTTTTTGCACATATAAAAAGGACGGACTGACTTGTGAAACTCATCGCACCCACCTTTTCAGACAGGCAAAAGTTGGAATCTAGATAATATACCTCACGTCTGGTACACCAGTGTGAATGTACTTCAAAGCCAATGCAATTTGTAGGAGGATTCTCACTCTTGTCATTGCATTTAAATCTTTTCCTTTCGTTTGAATTGCTGTCCTAAGATCACCGTTGCTGAAATATGGCGAGACAAACCACACTTCTTCTTTTGATTTTCTAGAAAATATTAGGTAAAAAGATCATACTCTTATTAAAAATTAAATATACGTTACAGTGTGTAATGATATAATTCATCTTTTGCACGGAAACGTTTTCCTTTTCATATAACTTATATGCTAAGGAAGGTTTCAGAACGACATTTTTGTTGTGCTTGTGGTATATTTAGTTCATTTTATTCGGCTATTTTCTAGTTGGGTGGTTCAAGTATTTCTCACTTGAATACTGCTTAATCCTTAATCACCCTTTAGGATATGTGGCCGTCCGTCTTCTTTTAATTTGTCTTTTGACAGCTTATCTGTGATATGCAGGATTTATAACCTCTGTTCGCATTGAAGGCTTTTCAAAATTTTATTTAGTCCCCCTATTGTTTTCTCGTTAAGAGCACACATATTCTTTTACCATGCTCCGCTTTTCATGGAATGACACCAATGTGTCACATTGAAGGTTCCATTAATAACTGCCGTATGAACGCATCTGTGGATGCTCCCAAATTCCAAATGGAACCATTTCATGTTAAATGTTGACTACCGCTTATGTCTGTGCCAGAGGGCGTGGACGGTAACTTGCACTTTCTTTTACCGTCCATGAACAGGCTCAATCAAACAGAGCCTGCAAAATTGTCGGTTTGTGTGTTCTTTACGGATTCTTTATTGGTTTCTATTTAATCCAAATGAACCCTTTATGACATAAAATCTGAACTTGAAAACTACCTCACCAAGACATTCTTGTTAAGAGTTAGAAAAGACGGGTGTTGTTCTTTAAATTGCGTTTAGGAAAGCAAGGCGGTCGGTAGGCTTATTACCACGTAACAAGTCCCTCATCAAAATGATCATTTGCTTTGGCTATATTTGGGCCATTTTGTATTTTGAAAGTAAGTCTGTCTTGCATGTAATATCGACTAGAGAAACAGATCTTTGAAATTGGCAAACTACCTTTGAAACAATTAAACTGAAACAGTGAACTAAAAACAAGAATAAAAAAACGAAAGTAGATGATTACCTATCCTTTTTTCCTACCGGTTTATCAACAACAGATAATAAAGGCAATATGAATGGATGTACAACCTTAGATGTTATCATTTCCTGTAATAGAAGATATAAAAAGTTTATAATGTCTGTGTTTTGTTCAGAGTTATATTTGCTTAAACAATTATCATATTATTAAGATATTGTTTTAAGTGCATAGAACTGGAGTCATCTAATACTGGGCAGGTGACCAATAATATTTTTTACCAATTGTATGGTCAAATATAAACGAGTGTATAACACAAGGCATAAGGCGATACTTATATTGCAAACAAACCTGCACGGTCGTCCAATCCCACCTGTCATTGCCATTTGAAATAAACTTAAGATATAGAATAACATCAGCAACGTAAATAAAAATGCAAACCTCACAAAAGGAATGAGACAACACCACGCATCTCTACACATTGGTCAGTTAAATGAGTGTAAGGAGTTGGAAAATCATTTTATTCAACTAGATTACGAAATCTGCATCAATTTATTATCTTAAGAATTTTGTTATTTGCAGAATTATCAAGCAAGTGAAGGAGAAATTTTGCCAAAATATTCATTTTTATGATATAAATTCATGGTTGGTGTTATAGGTTTGATTGCTTAAATGGTACGGGCATATTGTTTTCCACTTAATATAATTTTGCCATTTATAAAAAAAACCCTGTTAACTACATGTACCCTTCGGATTGATGTATGGTTAAAACCCTTCTTCCATGGTATCTTTTTAACAACAACGTCGATTCCAAAACCCTCGGACAGCTTTGAACCTGTAGAGAAGACATAATTTGCGATAACTTAAATTAACTTAAACGATTTGTAGTCAGTAAATATACAAGCATCTTTGAAATTATGTGAATAATTGTTGCTGTAAAATAAGCGGTGAGTTGCATACCTTTACTTAATAATTACATAATAAATCTTTTTTAATTTTATTTTCTTTGAAACACGGGACATTGAACAAAAGTGACAGGATCTTATTTAGTGGTCTAAATCCTATTTATAATCTTCAACCTTGGGTTTATCTCTGTTCTGATTGGTGCTTGTTAAAATTACTCACTCAAGTAGAGCGCGGCTTACAATGCTTTTAATGAAGACATTTTGGTTTTTATATGGAAAGGTTTTAATTATTTGCAGGTTACTTTGGTAAGCATTTTATTAGTTTTATGTATTCATATTTGCATTATACTTTATTCTTCATGTGGAGTTGTTAGCAATTAAGTAAATACTTTCTTTAAGCGTCTTTGACTCATTTTAGTTATTTACATAAAGCGATTATACATGCACTTCAAAATGGCAGTATTTACTCAAACAATTATTAATAATAACATAACAACGTCACATTTGAGAAACCTGTGCACATGATTCTTATTTTGATTGCAGTTTAACAGTTGAAGGGAATATTTGTGCGGTTCACGGGTATGTAAGCAGGTTCATAACTTGGTAAGTTTATAAACAATGTATTTGTGTATTGTGTTAAATGGTAAATACCTTTTTGTATAAAATATTGAGATATGTGGATAATGACACAGGGCCAAAACACCATTTTTGGGGAAGGGGCGGTAGCCTTTTTCTTGGGGAAAATATACGTCATTTTCACACTTTGGGAAAAGGGGTCTCAAATTAAACACAAACTTTTAACAAGTTCTTCAAAATAGAAAAGCAAAAGCACTGGGAAATACTTATAAGGCAGTAAAAGACCTTAAATCAACACCATCATTTAATTTTGTTCTAAATTCTATGGGAAATTTCAAAAGAATGGGGAATTTAGAGGACCAAATTGGGGAAAAAAGAGGCAAGTTTGCTTGGTGAAGCAGCCTATATACGGCCTCTACAAAGAGGGTTTTTTTGGCTCTAATAATGTTGATTATATATACTAGTACATATTAAGTGATGAATGATTAATGGACCACTTATTCCGATATACATTGTATGTATATTACTATTTTCCTGATTATGTATTTATAACATTGTTGTTGTAATATATAACAAGGTACATGATGGTTTCAGGTTTTAAGACTGAATTGTGTTATTTGTCATTTGCTTGTATTATGTACTTGCAGGTCACTGTAATGCTGAATACTGCTGTGTACTATTATGATAATTATACTGATATGTATTTGAAGTGAACAGTGACACATATGATATACAATTATGAATAAAAGAAGAACCCAGAAATACTTTGGTTGTAGTTGAGTCCATAAGCTGAGTATTAAATGAAATTATGCATTATGACGAAAACAAAGTTCTTACTTTTAAATACTTTTCCAAATGAACCTTCGCCGACCTCGATTGTGTTATTTCTCTCTAATTCTTCGATGTCTTCGTCTGCAAGTTTAAGCAAGCGACCATCAAATATACACGCATCTTTAGGACGTATGTATGTTTTCGCCGCTTTTCTTTCCATTAGAGGTGAGAATTTCGCTGGACGTTTACTCTTTACGTTATTCTTAGCTTTTCTTTTAGAATAGTCATCTCGATCTATTTCCATGTCAGCTTGATTGTCCATAATGACCTTTGGTAATGATGTGGAAACCTGAAACGAATATCACAAAATATTCCAAATAACTTACAGACAAATATCCGTACTCAGTATTATTAAATGACTAGTCATTTTCCTAGCTGTGATAGTAAAGATAAAATGACAATTACTAGGGCAACTGCTTGTATGTTTGAATCCCGCCAGGAATTCATGTGTGGAGTCTATCCAGCTAACTTAGTGGTTGTGATCGTTTGTGCCTGAAGTAATGCACCAAGGGGCACATGTGGTCTTCCCCATTCAGTAAAGCTAGAAAGGCGAGATATGACCTATACCAGTACTTAGAGTTCAAAACAACCAACCAAAATAACGTTACGTAAATTCCTGCAGGTTATCTGTCTCCATAAATGATATGGCGGTTTGCCTCAACTCTAATGGAAAGTTTGTTAGCACAATCTCAAATATGTTAAATAATAAATTAAAGTAGTATACCCCTAATGCATTAACTCCGCTTTGAAGAGTATTCAAATGAGCTAAAATTAATTATTGTCAACTGCAATGAAACTGAGGGCCGTGGGTTCAAACCCCCAAAAGAGCATTTTTTTCTTTCTATTTTTTTCTTTTAACTTTCTAACAAATCCCTTAATTAAGAAACGAAAATAGGCAAACTTTGAAAACAGCCCCTCATTGTGGTAAATTTTAGGGATATTTTGAATAAGGCTTTTTAAAAAGGAAAATGGTCAAATAAGTTTTTAAAGTGGGTGGGTTAGGGTCACATTTTTATGCACAATAAAACCATTTTGTGCAGAAACAATATTTTTGCTCGTGTGATTTGTTACCTGAATGCTTATGTTTGTTTCTTAACAATGACCAATAGGAATAGATTTCTCAAGTTTCTTCATTTCTGAAAAAAGCCCTTCTAATGGCAAAGTTTAAGTTCAGATAAATGTCCATTACTCATAACTATACGGAAAACTTTGTCTAAATTTAACATACATGGGTCCTTTGGGCATAGAACTGTCCTATCTTGTCTAAATTTTACAGTTCTTTATATTGTCTATTAGGGGTGTCCTATCTTAAAAGAATCATATGCTGTGAAGTTTCGTCCAATACATTCTCCATCATCATCGCTTTGAAATGGAATATGTTACAAGGCTTTCCACGATCACAAATGCCATTTCATTTAAAATAACATTGTTAGTAGATGATTGCGTTGTCAGTTTCAATGCACTTTGAAATCTTGATGAGAAGTTTTATAATTTTGATTTCACAAAAAATTCAAAATCGGATAGACCATCTGCAAAACACCCTTCCCCACCCACTACGTATTACACTTGACCGTCCTATTTTATTTAGTGAAACGAATTAGACGTAACATGAACGCACTTAATAATTTAATAAGAAGCTTATCTTTTAAAGGAAAGCAGTAGCTTTCATGTGTCTATTCCTAATATTGATAAACATTAAGAAAAGCACAAGTTTACTTGGTTCTACTTTCGATTTCGAAAATTAAATAATCGTAAACTTTGGTCGTTTGTAGCAAACCTAAGAAGTATATATGCGTTTTCTATAAAGATATATCAACTCGGAAAATTCCTTCGTTTTATCGGTATAATTTTATAGTGTCAGAAGACTGTAACAACGTACCTAGCTTTCACCTGAATTCTGTGAGCTGCGAGCACCTGTACTGTAACAATCGTTCACTCATCAAGATGCAGCTTTGAAATCAACTGATTTCAACCCAAAGTATTTTCAATGGGTATTAGATGCCATTTATCGTTTAAGTTTGCATAAAGAAGATGTACCTTCTTTATTCTGTTATTATATGCATTTGAAATACACAGGAAACGGACAAATACTGCGCATGCGCTGGACTGGAAGCGTATACAAGTTTACAGTATCGGGTAAATGTGAGATTTTCATGGCGTTGTTATACCCCCGTCTTTACTAAAATGTTGATAAAACTCATTTTTGAACAAATTATAACCTTAAAATGGAAGGGTCTTCGGATTGTTATGTTTGTTTGCTTTTATTTAACTTCAGTGGGATCCGATATACTATTTCACTTAGTTTGATTACACTATTTAATTAACGCAGATCATCTGTCAAATTTATTTATTATTATTAAACATACAATTAAAAAAACATGAATAGCATGTGTCAGAAAAATATTCTATTTACAATAATTGAATAAAAGGGTATTAATATGACAAATCAACTTTGAAACATTGTATTTAATTTGTTATTCTCGTTTAGTTAAAGGGAATCTGATCGAGGAATTGTTCTAAGTTGTAAATTAGATTTTATGAATTATTTAATTGATTGATAATTCTAAAAAAGATAATATAGTAAAATGATTGGTTATGAAAAATCAATATAATAATTAAAAGATTAATAATAATTTCCTGACTTTTTCCAGTTAATTTTAGAATTACAATTGTCGGTCAAAATAACAATTGAATTTTAAAATAATATATAATGTACAATTATAATATATAGTAGTCAACGCAGAGACATAAATATTCTTTTTTACATTTCTTGTAAACATCATAACTCAGTATTGAAATAGCACGTAAAACACAAAAAAGAAGAAGAAAACATTATTCATAAAAGATGTAGAAAAAAAAACATATTAAAACAGACATAAAACAATTATGATCAACATGGTATTATAATCAGTGTCATATTGTCACTTAAGTGTGAACAGGTATCGTTTAAGATGTTTAACGATAGGTACTTCCTTAATAGCGATTATACATCAAGGGACAATAAACAAGTTTGTTGTTGGTCATGCGTTAGACAAATAGATTTTATAACAGAACAAAATTTTATTTATATACGTATATGTACATATGTACATCGTCTTGTTTACAAAAGCTTTGAATAAACATAGTCACATGGCCTGCGAAAACATACAAATTATAAACAACTTTTCTAAATAAATAAACAATGACTTAAGAGGACAAACTTTATGCAAGAAGATAATAACATTTCAATTATGTTAAGAATTAATGATTGTGTTTCTCAACGATAAAGAATGTTTGATATATTTTGATAACTTAATTAAAACAGTTTTATCTTGCGTTGAAAGTAGATCAATAAATTTAAACACAGATGGTCTAACATAATATCATTTTTAAGATACTGCATTCGAAGACTATTATAACAAAGGCATACATATAAAATGATATTCATCTTCTATGTCAAATGTACTGCAACATAAACAATATCGCTGAGCACGAGGTGTATTATTCTTATTGTATCTCCCAGTCTGTATTCTTAAAGGATGTACAGACAATCTTAATCTACAAAAATGATATCTATATTTACGAGACAGAATATCAAGACAACTTTCATAATCAAAATTAAGCTTAAAATTCTTGTAATTAAATAAAACAGGACTGCGTTCAAACGTAGCTGCCAATTTATATATTATAAATGATTGTAATATATCCGTTGCCATTAGTAATCACGATATTACATTTATGACCATAAAACATTAACAATTATAATTATAAATAAACATGTTATAATTAAAAACATATTGCATTTTTTGGCAAAATCGGCATGAAATATCGTCAAACATTTATAACTACTACAATTTCATTGACAAATGCATAACAACACAAAACATATATACATCAACATTATGCACAAAAAGTAAAGTAGAAATAATAACAAATCTTACATATAATATAACACTGTTCATGTATTTTATCATTTCCAAAATGTAAAATAAATCGACACGTAACGTGCTAATGGTAATTTATTATTCATATAACAAAATAGATTATTAGCAAACAAAACAATGCAATACAACAACAACAAAAACAACAACAAAAAACCCCATCAAAATCATACACATTTGTAATTCTGTATTTACTTAAAAAAACAAAAAATCATGAGTATTGAAAAGGGTAGGGTGGTTATGTACATGTACTGTTATTATAGAATACATTTTAATATCATGTAAGTTTTAATTAATATTCTTTTACATTTATATCTTTTATTAAAAAAATAAAAACAACAAAAAACACCTAATATAGTAAACAATTACTAGGAAACAAAATGCATTATATACGAAATTTTCTTTTGTTTTTTAGCGGGGAAAGGGTTGTAATTATGTATTTTTTATACATTGGAAATAAGCTTTTAGCCATAGGTGCATAGTACGTCTTATTATTTTTTATTGTATAATAAAAGTGCTATTTCATGCTGTTTTATGATGTCATTTTATATATATAGATTCATATGTTATATTTTATTATTGTGTCATGTGCTATGTTCCTGAATGTATGAACAAAAAATAAATAATATATCTTATATCAACACTCTTTTTGATCTAGAAAAATCGACTCATTTCTACTTATAATTATCAGAAGCACTGACAGGGCCAGTAAATCCCGGACAAGACCCGAGAGCGAGGCGGCCGGACTGGAGAATAGTATATCCCGATTTAAGTAGAGATTTCATAAGATGTTTTTTCTGTGAAATTGACATTTTTGAAAATTGTTGGCCTAAACAGGTGAGAATTGATTTTGCATCAGCTGATGATCTGGTGGAAATTCCTGGGATTCATCCGTAAGAGTAGCGGAATAATTAAACCAGAGAAATTAGTAAGGTTTTCAAAGGGTTCAGTAAGAAGAGATGCATTTTACAATATTGACTTCAGGGACAATTTATTGCTGATACCTGGTGGTAAATTATCTGATACGCCTGTGTAGGGTTTAAATAACTCCCAAGTATGCCAAAATCAGCACTTCATCCAACTTAGTAATGCCTTTAAATACTATATTAAAGCCACTGAAGCCAGTGGTAAAACCGCAGCCTCTGAGGACTACTAGTATTTCGCACTGACAAATGGAAGCGTTACTGTAGGTACTACCTTAACGCTCCCAGTAAGATACAGCATAGCTTTTCTGCGTTCTTGATACCCATCTCAACAGACTATATAACGTTATCAAGAAGAAGTGTAGGTACTACAAGAAATAGAGATAAACCAGAATCAATCAAGAAGCTCAACAAGACAAAATTGAAACTGTTGCAGGCTCGGTTTGATTATGTTCATCTCTGGCTAACCACTACAGAAAAGTACAACAAAGTGTTGGTACTTCCTTGATTGCGACATGTACAACTCTGTTTATAGTAGGTATCAACCAATTGCAGCACACCATGTCCATAATACAAAAATCTGAAAAAAATGTGATCCCTCGAACGTGTCATGCTCGTACACCTGAAAAGAGCATGCTGAATTATACTGATGTATCCAGAGACTCTGGTTATGGCAGCTCTGATGATGATACAATTGATACTAGACTAGGTCATTGGCATAAAGATGAGGGTCTAGATGCCAGGCGAAGGTGGGCAAGAAATATTAAACACTGTTTAGAAACTTTTCATATGACGAAAAGGGAAATTGCGCCGCGTTTGGTTACGCAGAAGCTTGCGAATTGACAAAGAATGAATTGAATTTCCTCACTGTACAAGAGTCTCACTGGAACAGCTGCATATGTCTATGCGGCCTTGACTGATTGCGAGGAATTGATCAATACAGTAACCATCAAGTAGTTACTAGCTTTTGGTCAGAGATGAATTGATAGGGAATAATGTTGCATGTCTCATACCCTGACCATGAAGGAGGCAATAAATAGTGTATTTTGTATCAAGAGGTTTACCAGGCTATGTTTGGCAAGGCCAAAAGTGAGGAAAGGTGGCACTGACGATGAGCGGCAGTTCAAGACAAATCAATTTATTACAATAACTACTCTCCTGCGCACCGGTCGAATCTTCCACTACCGTTCACATTCTGTATTAAGTAACGGGTAGTTTATTCATTTACTTTTTTGCTAAGGGAGCGTTACAATAGAGAGAGAGTACAGTGGCAGCCTCTGATATTGCCTTAGTCGATAATCTGACCAAGAGAATGCAACAGAAAATAAACAAGAAACTGCAAAAAGAGGTAAATAAAAGCAGCAGAATGTAAACATGATATACCAACCTACCGAACTTTTGTATGTTTCATATGTTAGAAAAGGGCATTAATTTGAGATTACTATAAAGTAGCTGTAAATGAAGGAAACTAGTCGTTAAACAACAGCGGGCCGAGTACAAAAGCCAAGACTCGATCCAGAAATCAAGCTGGTGACGGATCGTAGTTAGATTTTGACGTTACATAAAGAATTGTCCCATTTAAAACTCTGGCGGATTCCAAACCAATTTGCAATCATGTCCCTGACGGCATGAAAAAGGTTTATGCTTTTTTAAACTATCATCCGACAGATGGGCAAAATATTAAGATGCTAATTTAGCTTAATGACCCGTTTGCCAAGGACAAATTTATTTTTGGACATTTTTTGACATCGTTTCTGGCATAATCTCGGGGAGTGCCAAGCATGAAGCGAACGCTGGCAACATTCAGTGAGAAGGAAGAAGCTCACCTGAAGAAAATGCTCTGAGAGTGAGTTATCTAGAATCAACGTCAGAGTGAGCGACATCACTGGAACTCATTCACAATCGAGACGTATGTGCGTTGATGCCGACAATAATGTGATTGTCAAGAATGTTTTTACATTGCCCTTGAGAGCTGATTGCCTTGATTCTTTTGCTGGTAGTTGTGGTTCTTTAAATTAGACGTCAATTCAGCCTACTGGCATGTAAAGATTAAGAAGGAAATCAAAAAAATGCATTTTTAAATAAATACAGTCTGTTTGAATATGCTTAAGTGGGGCTTGCACTATGCAATTCACCAGCCATCTATTAAAGTGTGATAAACTTGGTTTTAATGGTAAGCAGTAGTAGTGTGAGTATGTAAGATACTGACGTGAAAGGGACGGAGGTTTATCCTTTACCTACATGCTTTGAAAAAGTAGTGTTTTAGGGGTCTTGT